TTAACGCACCTGCCAACAAAGAGAAAAAACATTAGCTACAAATGCCACAGACGTGACAAGTGCAAACAAAATCCCTACAAACCTGGCCATACATGGCAGGTACTGGCAGCCAAATGACTGGCGGGAGGTTAGTCATTGTTTGGCCGAGAGGAGCCGCGGCGAGGGCTGCGCCCAGCTCCCTACGTACCTCGTCAGACTGCTTCACGTTGTCGTGGCGCTTCTCCAGGTCCGCGTACTTCTTCCAGTACCCATAGCAATACGGGTAGTGCGTGAAGAACCTGTCAAAGGCCTTCCTGGCAGCTGGTAGGTGGTTCTGCGAGCAACACACAATACAGGCAATGAATCCTTCCCTTAAAATAAAGCTTCACATTATTTTAAGAACAATTACTGTTTTAACATCGTCTTAGAAACCACTGGTTTTATTTTGAGGTCTCTGCTGACAACACTGGCAAGGACAACTGTCTTACAACAGTGTCTAGGAAAGCTCGATGTACAGGCCTAGATTTGGCACTGGAATATCCACAACTTGTTTTGGTTTTCTCTATTTCTGGAAGGCAGAGGGAAGGGGGGGCGCATACTAACCTCCTGCTCTACATACTGTAGCAGATAAACCCATCCTGTGAAATCCTGGGGATTGTCCTCTACTACTTTCCAGAACTTGTCAAAATCCGGAGGGAAGCCAGCCTCAATATCTGTTGTCTGTAAACTTTCAATGTTGGGAATTTCACTCTCCTGCGTGTTCTCTTCATTCAAGTCAGGGGAACTATCGGGTGACTGCTCCATCTCCGTCACACTCATAATTTCTGTGCTGAAGTCCATGTGCTGTTCTTCCGTTGTGGTTTCAGCGCCATTGTCCGTGCTGTCGTTGCCCACAGTGGGCTTCTCCTCCTCCGTACCTTCTGCGTTCTCCATGGCTCAGGCTACTGCTGCTCCGTGCTACTGGATCCTGAGGAAATAAAAACATTCAGTACCCGTGCAGCGAGGAGCCAAGTAGGACTCGGGCGTGAATTCTCAGCCACGAGTCTCCCAAGTGCTTCAGGCACCCGAGTATTTCACCACAGGCCCTTATCAATTAGATCTGCTTCGCTCTTGAGCCTAATTCGCAATTAAAACCACATTAATAGCAGTAAAATGTTGTAACTTCTGCACATACAAATCATTGTGGTTTTTCTAAAAGCTATCACAAGTAGCTATCAAGGTATTGATATAAAGGTAAAACTGATACCATTTTCCTGTGTGAGTCTAGTGGAACTTTATTCCAAATAAAGAATTATGTTCAAATTTATTCCAGTTTTCTACTTAGTACAAATCACTGACTTGTTTGCAAGTAAATATATGTTATAACACACCCTCAACACCTAGCTGAACTGGCTGAAGTGATAACTTCACAAAGCACAGAGTTACCACCGTTCCTGGGCTGGCCCCACATTAAGGATGCCAACACACAGAGCCCCCAGAAGCTGACCAGGTTGGCCCCTGACAGGCAGCCCCTGGCTCCCACACACCACTCGGACATCAGGGGCTCCTCCTGCCCCTCGGGACAGACTCCATCTTCCTCCCACTCTTCATTTTGATCTTCTTGCCAAATCCCAGCCCTACCCTGCTCCGCAAAGGCCCGTCCAGCCCCACCTGGCTGCTCTGCCTGAAGCCCGGGCGTGAGGCACCCCCTGAATCTTCTCCATGTTCCAGCCAGGCCCCAGTGACTAACGGCTCCTACACAATGCAACACCCCAGGGAGAACACAATAGCTCTCAGCTCGGACTGGATTCTGGATGAAGAACAGCACAAGGCCATCATCCTCAAGTGCACTGTGGCAACTGCCACTCCCATTGCCCCTCGCTTCTCCTCAGAGGTGAAAACAAATAAGTTCAGTTAAAAAAAAACACACAACAAGTCCCAACCCCACTTTGTATCTCCAGAGTTCTTTCCCACTGAAAGCCTGAAAAGAGAACAAATGGACCACTTGCTTTCACTGCAACAAACTTCACTTCAAGCAAACCATCAAGCCATCAACAATAAAGTCGGGAAAGAAAACTGACAGAAAGGAGAAATATCTATACCCTATCTTCACAGATTTATAGAATCACCGAGTCGGGAAAGAAAACTGACAGAAAGGAGAAGTATCTATACCCTATCTTCCTAGATTTATAGAATCACCAAATAGTTTGGGTTGGAAGGGACCTCCAGCAGCTTCCATGTGTGAGACAACAGTTCCTGTTCTCCTAGGAGTTCACCAAGCCAAGTACCTTCGGCGTAGTAATAAAAGGTCCCCATGGTCTGCTCTGCGAGTTGTCTAAGCCTGAATCTTCTCCATGTTCCAGCCAGGCCCCAGTGACTAACGGCTCCTACACAATGCAACACCCCAGGGAGAACACAATAGCTCTCAGCTCGGACTGGATTCTGGATGAAGAACAGCACAAGGCCATCATCCTCAAGTGCACTGTGGCAACTGCCACTCCCATTGCCCCTCGCTTCTCCTCAGAGGTGAAAACAAATAAGTTCAGTTAAAAAAAAACACACAACAAGTCCCAACCCCACTTTGTATCTCCAGAGTTCTTTCCCACTGAAAGCCTGAAAAGAGAACAAATGGACCACTTGCTTTCACTGCAACAAACTTCACTTCAAGCAAACCATCAAGCCATCAACAATAAAGTCGGGAAAGAAAACTGACAGAAAGGAGAAATATCTATACCCTATCTTCACAGATTTATAGAATCACCGAATAGTTTGGGTTGGAAGGGACCTCCAGCAGCTTCCATGTGTGAGACAACAGTTCCTGTTCTCCTAGGAGTTCACCAAGCCAAATACCTTCGGCGTAGTAATAAAAGGTCCCCATGGTCTGCTCTGCAAGTTGTCTAAGAACTGTTTTTTAAAAGCAGTTATTTTGGTTCTCCACCGGACAACTGTTTTTTAAAAGCAGTTATTTTGGTTCTCCACTGTATACTTTATATGGTAACTGTTCATAGAAATGAACCATTTGTGCCATTTTAAAAGTCACACGGACGCGATGTGACTACAGGGAGCACTATAGGGCTTGTGTTCTACAGGGAAAGAGGGTGCTTGTGTAAGAGGAGCGGTTTATTTCATTAATAACCAGTTCTTCCCCACATCCTGGGCCACTCTAGAGAGCCTGCATCAAAAGCCGCCTTCTTTACTGAGCGTTGGAGGTGTGCCTTCAATATTAAGAATAAACATAACTTATAAGTTAATAAATTAAATATCAAAGCAGTATCACTGTGCCTTTACCAGAGCAACACATAAAAAGATATCTGTGTAATGAAACCCTTCAGAGCTTACCTCTGGAAAGATTATAAAAGCAAGGCACAAAAGGAGTGTGTTATGCAAACAGCAGCCCCAAAACTTGGAAAAATAGTTTAAAGGAGGTTTACAGCTCTAAAATTTGAGAAAGATAATGCAATTGTTTTTAAACTTGCAGCAATTGATGAACTAAACTTATTCTGATATTTGACAGATGTTTTCTCCCCTCTAGTCAATTCAGAGGATGCATTCCAGCTTAAAAAACAACTCCCCCAAATCTAGCGGTGTTCAGTTCAGGGGGAGGGGAAAAAAGAAAGAGGGAGAGGCAGCACCTCTGCACACAACGCTTCAAACAGGGTGTAAAAGTCAGTTTGACAGTTTGTGTCCGTCTGAAGGCGTCCTGGAACACCCGCTGGGAATCCCGGGATCCCCCAAACTCTTACAGTAACAGAAGGCTACGGGTGACAGGATGGGCCCTGCCTGTACCAGAGGAATGCCCCGCAGCGCAGGGAGCGATGCTGGCAGCAGGCACTGAGCTGGGGCACAGCCAGCACAGCCAGCCACCGAGCGGAGTACCTCAATTCCAGGAGTTTTCACATCACTCAGGCTAAATAACTGAACAGGAATATCAGACAACTACACGCACCAGCTTTAAATAATTTATGTTGGTGTATATGATTCAGCCTGTTTCAATTAAACGTTTATTGCATACAATATTGGTGTTTACCAAAACGAACTAATAGAAAACATCTAGCAAAAAACCCAAGCAGGCAGCACCAAGGTGTTTCAAGCTTCACTCGCACCCTCCCCAGCTCCATGAACCTTCCACTGCCAGTGAGTGGCTGCCTGAACAGCTCCTGCCCGGCCCCTCATGCTCCTGCCCAAACAAACAACGCTTCTGTGGCCAAAGGACAGCAATCACTGAATGGTTTGGGTTGGAAGGGACCTTAAAGATCACTTAGTTCCACCCTCTGCCCTGGGCAGGGACACCTCCCACCAGACCACGTTGCTCCAAGCCCCCTCCAACCTGGCCTTGAACCCCTCCAGGGATGGGGCAGCCACAGCTTCTCTGGGCAACCTGGACCAGGCTCTCACCACCCTCACACCAAACAAGTTCTTCCCCACATCTCGGCTCCATCTCCCCTCTTTCGGTGTCAAACCCTTCCCCCTCCTCCTAGGGCTCCCCTCCCTGATCCAGAGTCCCTCCCCATCTCTCCTGGAGCCCCTTGAGGGACTGGAAGGGGCTCTGAGGCCTCCCTGGAGCCTTCTCTTCTCCAGGCTGTAACGTAAC